TATTGGGGTATCTACGACTCTTAAGCTCCTTTCTTCACCCACCTTAAAACAGCATCCTCCCCACGGAGAAGTCCTCTTTTTTCTTGTGTTATCCGTGGGGTGGATTCTCTGCTTGCTGAATCAGATATCATTTCTGAACTTGCAGAAGATGGTGTCTCTGTCAGATGCTCTATCCGCATACAGAATGTCAAAGGGCCTACTTTCATGGTCCGAATACTCACTGTCTCTAGTAATATCGTTGATCATCTTCTTCTCCATGATGCTTTTCTTTATCGTCAACGTCATAGTGTGGAGCCATCTCGAACTTTACCTCCACAACCTATTCACTGTAAACGTTATCTTGCCTACAATGCCATTCCACTGCTCAGTTCCCAAATCAGCCCATCTGTCCCCATTGTCGTGGTCCTCACCTTTCCCTCCATTGCTTCCACTTGAATTCTCTTCCCATCTGCAATACATGTCAAGGGGACCATCCAAGTTACTCCTGCAAATGTCGTAGAAAGCCACCCCCTACTCCTGATGATCCCACTTCAGTCGCACCTGTTACTACTACTGATACCATGACACCACCATCAAACTCTGTTCTGCCCCCACCAACTATTGAAGATTTACTCCGTTTTCTCACCATTGCTTTACAGAATATCCATCCATTCCACCGTCCTTTCATTCTGGATAGCATAAACTATGCTGCAAAGGCCGTGTTTCAAATTCAACTCCAAGCCTCATATTCAGGCTTAAATTTTTATTTCTGTTTTAGTCGCCTATGGGACCAAGCACCACCTGGTCGAGTCGCGACAGAATGATAAACATTCTCTTCCTTAACATTCGTTCGTTGTTCGCCAATAAGTTTTACGCGTACTTCTCTTCCAGGAGACTGCTTACGATTGTGTACTGTTCAATGAAACTTTCCTGAAACCTTCTCAAGCTGCTAAGTTATCTGGTTTTCACTTTCATCAGCACAATCATCCCTGAGGAGTAGGTCGAGGGCGTGTAGCAATATGCAGTCAGGCTACTCTTCCATTTCGCCTCCATACTCTTCCACCGAATAATTATCCTGAACACCTTATTCCTACAGTTTATTTCCAATCACGTCTTTTAACATTTGTCACCATCTATGTTCGCACTGGTGAACCACTCCCTCATACTTTCTTCACTTCAGTCGATCGCCTCTTCCCCAGCTATATTCTTGCCAATATCAACTTTCATAACAGAACTACGTCTGAGGTTCAACAATTTCTCACCATGCGCAATGATACTTCTGGAACCATGATACCTCTTCCTGCTCCTAGCTATGCTGTCTCCAACACTGCTCGAGATGTCGTTATTGCCTCTACCCCAGTTTCTTACTTATTGTCCGTTTTCTTACTTTGTCCTGTTGTGATCATCTACCCATATCACTCCTCTCCCGTGTCACCACCCTACCGACGACTCCACTATCATTTCCATAAAGCCGAATGAAATTATTACAGGAAGCATCTTCATTCTCTCCTTTCCCTGTACCCTTCTCTGTACCCCAACGAGCCATTACACTTCTTTGCTGTGCGTACTCACTCCTCCAGGACTATCATTATTCTCACCATCCACTTGTTTTGCACCATTTCAGAGGTCTCCAACACACAGTCAGAAATTTCATTCAAGCTATTAAACGTCGCCTTTGGCATTACCTGTGCAACAGACTTTCCCCTTCCTCATCTCAGTTTTGCATCCTCACTGGCCAGTATCGCTCCCTTTCCTATCCTATCCTTGTGGAATGTCAGGTTCTTGCTACCACGCTCCTCAAGGCTTCTGCACACCACTTGGAGTCGCAGTTTAATCCTCCACCACCACATCCCCTTGACTTTGATGATTTCTCTGACATATTACGACTCTCTGATCATACTTTTCCGAAT